AACTATATAAATTATTGTTTCAAAAGAATCACTTTGTTAAAGCAAAACTTATTCTAATTCTTACTGTTCAGAAAATTCACCTGAATCTGTTATAAATTTACAAGTAGTGATGCTGTATTGAAAAGTATGATTGTTCTCTTTAAACTCTGATCATGACCAACTGAAGCTGACTATGTAGAAACTATCATAATCTTTAAACAAAATGTAACCAATAGTTTTTAACTTTGGATCTTGTAAAATGTTTCAATGATCATAATTGACTAATTGCTTTAATCGTAGTTCACCATCTTCACCCTGAAAAAAAACAAGAATATTTTTGTTGTACAGGACTATAGCAAAAAGAAGGTTTATTCTCAAAGAGATAAACAAAGATATTTTTTGAAAAAGCATTAATAGAAACTTGTTTTGCATCTATTGAATGTCTATTAAAACCAAGACATTTTTTAATAAGAACTATAAGCGTATCTTGATAAAATGCAACTTGCTCAAGAGGAGGTTGAATAAGTAGCTTGCGATGAAGTATAGTTTTGTTATTTCTATGTTTAATTCTTTCATGAGCTACAAGCTCTTTTTAAGAAGGAAAAATTGCTTGACAAAGTTGACATTTACTAGCTATTGAAGTACCATACTAATGCTAATTTTTGTGATTCTTGTAAGCAAAAAATTTTATTGATCAATCATTTTTAAATATCACAAATTCCCAGATATCACATTTCTAACTTAGGTGATATAATCGAATAGAAACAAATCTGCCCATATGTTAAGACTTGATGCTTGGCACCTATATTGGCATATATAATACAAACTCTAAAAGGAAATAGCCAATTCGAGAACATATATTTTGACTATTCCCGACCGCAAAAATACGAGTCATATTATCTGAATCATCGCCACAGCTATATCTCAATAACCAGTATATTGCCTTGTTGTAGGGTTGTTAATAGAGTAGCTTACTCCGGAGCACTCCAGAGTAGAACCCAGCCCAAGTTGGAGTGGGTTTAAAATTATGCCTTTAAATTT